CATATTGATAATCGTATTATTCAAATATGATATTTAATTTGTGTTATTGTTATAAGTTTTGAAATAGATTGTTTTTATCGTTGATTGTATTGATCAAATGGTAATTTATGTGTGATGATATAAGTAAAAGGTATCATTCAATAATTGATATAGTTTAAAAATATGTAACGATAATTTTATAACTTATGTTAATGATATATAAAATTTCAATTATATATAATATTTTTATTATATTGATACGAATTAAATGCACTTCTTGTTCAGACACTAAACTTCTTGAAGACACTGGAAAATGTGTTACAGCCACCGAATGTCCATCTGGATACTACAAAGACACAGCAACTGCAACACGTAAGAAGAGCAAAACTGGAAGCAATTGTCTGACTTGTGAATTGGACACAAAGTGTTTGTCTTGTATTGATGGATTGATGGATTCTATTTGGCAAATGAAGGAAAATGTTCTGCGTGTAACACAATTGCTGGGTGTGGGAAACGCAAGTCAGCCACCGAGAGTATTTCATGCACAACTGACAATCTCCAACCAGACAAAACTTGCAAACCAAACTTCCCAGAAGCGTACTTTGCAAATGATAAGGTGTACACTGCATGTGTTGATGATTGCAAAACATGCACCGAAGAAACTAAGTGCACTATTTGCAAAGAAGATGCTCTGATGGTTGAAGACACCAAAAAGTGTGTGAAAGGCAACTGTCCAGAAATGTATTTCAAAGAGGGTGCTGAGAAGATGTGCAAGAGATGCACTGATGGTTGCAAAGTGTGCAGCAATGCAACTGACTGCCAAGAGTGTGTTGCACCAAAGATGTTGGAGGAGGGAACTATGAAGTGTGTTGAGAAATGTGGAGATGGGGTTTTCAATGTCGACAACAAAAAGTGTGATATGTGCATGGCAAACTGCATGATGTGTGCAGCAAAGGAAAAGTGTGATAAGTGCAAAGACAACTATTTTATGTCCGATGACAAGTGTGTTGACATGTGTCCAGAAAAGTACTTTGAAAAAGAAGGAAAGTGCGAGAAGTGCAAAGACACTTACAATACGCCATGCAAACAAGGCGACACTGAATGTAAAGTTTGTATAAACAAAAGTGGGACATTGAAGGTGTTAGTTGAAGCTGTGGTGTTTGTCTTGATGATTGCCTTCTAAGTTACTTTTTGGTTGGTTTTAATTTAAATTTGTTTTTAACACTTGAAATATGTTGATGATTAATTTCATAGCTTCAATGAATTATATAAATATAATATGTTATAAATTAATTGATTTGGTTTAATTTATTAGTATCTAATTAATACTAATTAAACAATTATCTATTATAATATATAGTATTTTGTTATTTAAAATAACTATAAATCGATATTATAAATAATAGTAAATTAAACTAATCAATATTAATTAAATAAAAATGAACCCATAATTATTGAAAATGGCAATAATTATAAAGATAAAGAAATAATAAACAAGAATTAGACCGTACGACTAGGATCATTCTTAGAGTATGTCACTTTCTATCTAACAAATAGAATTCACAAAATAGGATGAAGACTTTCATCACTTCAGTGCCAAAGGGAGATACGCAGCAATGCACGATGAACTGCTTATTGAGGGGTCGAGTGCGTGCACAACACTCTGAGATGAGAGGCACTGAAGTCTGTCTGACTATTTTTTGTGTATTTCAATTATTATATTATTATATTTAATTAGTATATTATTAAAGAATTAAATCTATAAAATAAAACAACAATAACACAACACAACCAAATTAAAAGACAATCAAATGAAAGCAAATTGTGAGCGTATTTCAAAATGTTTTGGATTCTTCCCTTTTGGTTTCTTGTTCTTGAGATTTTGATAAGCCCACCGTTTAAACAATTCTGTTTCTTATCGTCTTGCTTGTTTGGTGTGATGTGTGTGACTGTTTTGACTGCCTTCTTCTGTAAAGGCGTGTTGTGTTTTGTTGCAACATTTTTAAACATCTCCAAGTGGATCACCATGCTTGCTGATGACTGTTGTGACATAAGTTCCGTTTTATACAACATGACACGTCAACACCTTCCATTTGTCAAGACTCAATATCAACCTTTGAGTTTTGACACATTGGTATAAATACAACAATACTTCCATTTGAAAACATAACTTTCATTTAAAATATTGTATTAAAAAAAACTATGAAAAAGGCAGTGAATTGATTACTGCACCATTTTGAGAATCTCCTCAAGTACTTCAGAACTGCCAGGCGCCTTTTTCACGACTTTCTGGTTTTGGAAGAAGACAAATGTGGGAAGTGATGTAATGGAGTACTCAGCAGCATAATCAGTTGCTGTGGTCGCATCTACTTTGAAGAATTTGAGGTTTGTGTGTTTTTCAGCAAGTTTGTCCATCATTGGTGCTCTTGCCTTGCACTTTGCACACTCGGGAGAGTAGAAGATGACAAGAACATTCTTGTTGTTTTCAATTGTTTGTTTCACTTCGGCAACATTGGTTGTGTATGTCACCGGCATGTCTTGATGTTCAATTGTGTGATTTGGTTATTCAAATAGACATCAATTGTTTCAACACAGAGTTGCCAATGACCAGATGTTGTAATAACTCTGTCTTTATCTATAACTTTTCACTTTAAAATTGTTTCATTCTATTTTTATTTGGTATCATTTTATATTTAATATGAATCAATTGGTTATGAAATACAGATTTTTTTGTAATTTATATGTGGTCTTTTTCAATAATATATTATCTGAAATATTTATATTATAATGGTTAAATTTGAACAAGTTTCAATATTTTTTGAAAAAGTTAAAGAATGATATTACAAAGTGTCCCAATAATTATATCAACTTTATTTTAAGTTTTTGTTAACTTTTTAATCGAAATTCTTTTTCAAAATGTAAAGTCATTTTGAAAATTGGAATAAAAACCATTCCGATTTATTTTGCTATATCAAAATAAAATAAATATCTTAAGAATTAAAATTATATAATTATGGCATACATCTGATTCGTATTCTATTAATATTACAAGAAATTAAATTTTATAACACATAATCCTTTTTGATTTAAAAAATGAATAAAATCATACAAATTTGAGAAATTTTTTCCAGTTTTATAACACAATATAAATTAATAGATAAAGTAAAATTACATATTTGAAATAGGGTTATAATTTTTTTACAGGTTTGTTCCATTTGTTTCCACAAAAATAATAAACAATAAAATTTAGTTGATAAATGTAAAGCACTAATGGTCTAAGGGCAGAATTTCACCCTCCCAAGGTGGAGATTCGGGTTCGAGTCCCGGTTAGTGCATTTTGTTTAAACTTTATTATCATCTATTTAAATTGATTTAATAATTTAATAATATGAAAAACAAAACAGGTGCAATTTATAACTGTTAATTTTGTTTAAAATAACGAATTTTTGATGTTTTTACTTTTTGGTTTGGTTTATCAAAAGTGTTAATACAATTTATTATAATTTCCAAATTATTAAATATATGATAATATCTTCATTTTATTTAGTTCTGAAAATAAAATATAAAAACTATTTTATTGTATGAAAATTGCACCTCATTCAATGATGTACTATCCTTGTAGTCTTTTAACATATATTATTTTTTGACACTTAAGTTTTTGTATCCTTCTTGGCACTCACCAAACCCAACAAAAATTCTCATCACGTTGTCAAACCTTTTCACGTTGGATGGTACCAACTTTTTGTATTTTTTTCTGTCAACTATTTTGAAAAACATCTTTTGAATGTTTTTTGTCAAAAAATTTCCAAACAACTTTTGGGGTTACACGTGAGACGCTGTCTGACTCCATCTCACTCATGTCGATTTTGACGATGTTGTTCTCTACGCCAAATAGCTACTCTGTAAGTGCCTTTGCAAACTCTGTCTTGCCAACACCGCTTGGATAAAGGAACATGAATGAGCCAATCAGTTCTTGTCTGAGGCAAGACCACTTCTACTTTTCAGAATAGTATCAGAGACTGTAGTCACAACCTCCTCTTTTAGAACAACAACTGTTTTGTGCGGCTCGTCTTCAAGTTTCAGGAGTTTTGTCTTCTCGCTCTGTGTCACACTGCTTACTGGGATGCCTGTCCATTTCCTCATTATATCTTCCATTAACTGTGGGGTCACTTGTAACGACAGCATTAATATTTATTATGTCCGGTTCTTCAATTCCGTGAGTCACTTCTTTTCCTCTGGAATTGCATAATACTTCAAGTCTGCGACGACCTCAAGATTTTTTGTTATTTCCATTTTGTGTTTCATGTCTTCTATTTTCTATGCAAGGGTCTTGAGCTCTTCACTGCCACAAGTGCCGAGTCAGGCTATAGTGGCTTTTAAACTTCTCTCATGATGCTTCTTAAACAAAGTGTGACATTCGAGAAGCGACATAGATATATTGGAATTATTTTTCAAATGAAAGGAACTTCAGCTACAATCAGCAATAATTATATACATATTAAGTGTAATAATTCTCTGCTGCAAGTTTGAAAAACTATTTTTTCGCTACTCGCTGCGCCAAACATTTCATGGCGGCCGTCTTATCAAAACTAGGTAACTGATCGATGGTAAAAAGACTATTTTTATTTAACAATAAAACAAATTTGGTTTGTGTTTGTTCTAATTTTCTATTTATTTATTGTATAATATTATATTATTTATATATTATAGATAAAGAATAACAACACTTTTATCGAATTATATTTTTTTTACAAAACAACCACAATTAATAACATCTGTGGTGACGTTTATTTAATATTTTAGCATAATAATATTGTATTAATATTTAAATTAAATTGTTATTTGAAATAGTTTTTTATTATATAATTTCATTGATTTAAATGGTGAATAACTATTAACAAATAATTCCTTTAAATTATTACAAAGACGAATTTTATAATTATTAAAAAATGAAAAACTGTGAATATCAAAATGTGTGGACTTTCTAGTTAACACATCATGATAGTCTCTAAGTATTTTAAAAAAATCAACAACTTTATTAACTTAGAGTTGTTATGCAAGAAGTTTAGTGGCAATATGGAGAAGTTTCACTTTAATTCGATTTCTTTATGTTAAAAAACAGTTGGATACTTTTCAAACATCGAGACACTTCATTTGTGGAATATAGAAGATAAGACCTTTGGTAATGGATTTATAATCAACACAAAAGTTTGTGAAGATTAAGTATTTTTAAAGAAAGAGTTCTTTCGAATCATTGTGTGGTATTGTGTTGATTTTGATACCGTTAACAAAAACAAACATCGAAACATTGAGTTTAAAAATGTTACTTACACTAAAAATAATAGAATATAATTTAATAATAACATTCCATTAGGTGTTACATTTATTTATAAAAAAATGTTTCTATGGATGCATAAGTCTAAGCAGTGTAACAATACCATCAAGTGTCACAACAATTGGTAAATATTGTTTCTGTGATTGTGGTAGTCTTAGCAGTGTTACAATACCATCGAGTATTACATCAATTGGTGATAAATGTTCTGTGAACGCAACAATCTTATTAGTGTTACAATACCATCGAGTATCAAATCGATTGGAATTCAATGTTTCCCATCAAATACTTTAGTTCATCGATGTTAATCAAATAATTTAGTTGTTACTTATTTGTTCATTTTTTATTTAAAAATAAAATAAATAAAAAATATTTTTTTATTTATTTTTCAATAATAAATTGAAATAATAGCGAAAGTGATAAAATTAAAAAAGAGATATAGTGCGTATAATAAGATGACTATCATAAAGCCGGCTTTTTACATCCTTACACTTCATGGGCAATGAGTTTACTTAAATGCAAGATTATGTAAATTGGTAGTTATATACCACTTTATTCAGTTTAATTAAATTAATAACAAGTCAATATAATTAATTTAATTAAATAAACTGTTTTTCAAAAGTCGGTACTGTCATATTTTTAGAACTTCCTAAAGTCCCGTTTTTTATTTTTGTTTTTTCCTAAAAAAATAAAAAACAAAAAATCGAAAGTACCGACTTTATTTTGAAAAAAATACCAATCCCGTTCAATTATTTTCGTACAAATTCGGGAAAATATTGGAATATTAGCCATCTTTTTCCAAAAAACCCGATCCCGTTATTTGATTTGATATCAACTCGATACTTCGCAACATATACACAGCATTGTTGGCCTAAAAGCACAACAATTAACGTTTAAGTGAATTGGGATGGTGTTATTTGTGTCGAGTTTTAACTGATAATTACTATCGTTAAAAAATATTTTCAATTAAAAACAAACATGTGGTTATCTTCTCTGAATAAAAAATAATGAAATAAAGAGTTCCAAAAACACCAAAAAATATACTACAGCAAATGTTTGATAATTTTGACAGGCATAAGTCAAAATTGTCAAAGGGCAACACAAGAAAAATAATACAAAATAACAATAATGTTTTGTTATTGGATATTTTAAAAAAGATGTTCTCACTGAAATGCTCAAAAAGAATGTCGACTTTTTAAAAAACAACGAAGATAAATTATCAAATCATTTTGTTATTTTTATTGTTTTTGTGACAACACTACTAAGCATACTAATCTTCGAACTAAGCTTTTGTTTTGTGAATATTTCATTAATTAATAAAATGTTTGATAATGA